CATAGAACGTGTTTGGTATTGTCCCTTCCTTCTCAATTTTTTGGAAGAGTTTGTGAAGGATAGGCACTAATTCATCTCTGAATGTTTGGTAGAATTCATTTGTAAATCCATCAGGTCCTGGGCTTTTGTTTTTGGGGAGGTTTTTGATTACCATTTCAATTTCGCTGCTTGTAATTGGTCTGTTTAGGTATTCTATTTCTTCTTTATCTAGCTTTGGGTGATTGTAGAGTTGTAGGCATTTGTCCATCTCCTCTAGATTGTTGAACTTGTTTCCATATAACTGTTCATAGTAGTTACTGATTATTCTTTTGATTTCTGCTGTGTCCATTGTGATTTCTCCTCTTTCATTTGTGATCCTGTTTGTTTGTGCTTTCTCCCTTTTTTCCTTTGTGAGCCTGGCTAGGGGTTTATCTATTTTATTGATTTTTTCAAAGAACCAGCTCTTGATTTCATTGATCTTTTGGATTGTTTTTTTAGTTTCAATTTCATTTATTTCTGCTTTGGTTTTTATTATTTCTTTTCTTCTACTGGTTTTGGGGTTTTTTTTTTGTTGTTCTTTTTCTAGATCTTTGAGCTTCGAGATTAGGTTGTCTCTTTGAGTTCTTTCTTGTTTCTTGATGTGAGCTTCTATTGCTATATATTTTCCTCTTATTACTGCTTTTGCTGTATCCCATACATTTAGGATATTGGTGTCCTCATTGTCATTCAATTCAAAGAATTTTTTAATTTCTTCTTTGATCTCCTCATTAGTCCAGTGGTCTTCCAGTAGTGTGGTTTTTAATCTCCATGAGGTAGGAAAGTTCCTTGCCTTCTTTTTATGGTTTATTTCTAGTTTGATGCCTTCATGGTCAGAAAAGATGGTTGGTATGATTTCAGTCTTGGTGTATCTGTTGATGTTTGTCTTGTGCCCAAGTATGTGATCAATCCTTGAGAATGATCCGTGTGCACTTGAGAAAAATGTGTACTCCATTTTTTGGGGGTTTACTGTTCTATAGATGTCTGTTAAGCCCAAATGCTCTAGGTCCTTATTTAGAGCTTTGGTTTCTTTACTTATTTTTTGTCTTGTTGATCTATCCATTGTTGATAGTGGTATGTTGAAGTCTCCCACTACATATGTGTTTTCTCTGATGTCTGTTTTCAGAGAGGACAACAGTTGTCTGATATATTTTGGTGCTCCTTCGTTTGTTGAGTATATGTTAATGAGTGTTATTTCTTCTTGAAGTATTGTCCCCTTGATCATAATGTAGTGACCATTGGGGTCTCTTTTTATCTTTTTGAGTTTGAAATCTGTTTTATCTGATATAAGTATAGCTGTTCCTGCTTTCTTTTTTGGTCCATTTGCTTGTAGGATTGTTTTCCATCCTTTAACTTTGAGTCTATTTTTATCTTTTGTAGCTAAATGTGTTTCCTGGAGACAGCAAAAGGTTGGGTTTTGTTTCTTAATCCAGGCTGCGACTCTGTGTCTTTTTATTGAAGAGTTTAGTCCATTTACATTTAGAGTTAATATTGATACGTTAGCATCTGTATTTGCCATTGTGTTTGTCTTTCCTTTTATTTTATTTATTTATTCTTTCAATAACTTTTTTTTTTTTTGGCCTTCTTTCGTTGTTATTCGTCCCTCTGAGGTTCTGGCTTTAGGACTCCTTGCAGTATTTTTTGGAGTGGGGGTTTAGTTGTAATGAAATTCCGGAGTTTCTATTTGTCTGGGAAGGTCCTTATTCTTTCTTCATAGAGGAAGGAGAGCTTTGCGGGATAGAGTATTCTTGGTTGGCATCTGTTTTCTTGGAGTCTGTTGGATATGTCCTTCCACTCTCTCCTTGCCCGTAGTGTTTCTTCGGAGAAGTCTGATGTCAGCCTGATTGGCTTTCCTTTGAATGTTATCTGTTTCTTCCCTCTTGTCAGCTTCATTATTTTTTCCTTGTCCTGGATTCTTGGGAGCTTTACTATTATGTGTCTTGCTGTATTTTTCCTTTCGTCGTGGAAGTTTGGTGATCTTCTTGCTTCTTGTATATCAATTTTCAGCTCCTTCTTCATATTTGGGAAGTTCTCTTCAATTATCTCCTGGAATATTTTCTCTGTTCCTACATCTCTCTCCTCTCCTTCTGGTATTCCTATAACTCTTATATTCCTATTCCTCATGGAGTGAGATAGTTCCCGAAGTCTTTCTTCATTCTTTTTCCTTCGTACTTCTCTTTCCTTTTCTGTTTTGTTTCTTTTTATATCTGTGTCTTCAAGAGAACTTATTCGTTCTTCCATTTCATCTATTCTGCTTTCATTCCTTTTCCCAGAATTCTTTAGTTCTTCCATTAATTCTTTGATCTCCTGCATTTCTTTTACTTCCCTCTTTAGGGACTCAATTTCATTCTTCTGATCGTTGATTATTTTTCCCTTATCATTGTTTTCCTTTATGACTTCTGTCATTTTTTTAATCACGGCAATTTTAAATTCTTTTTCTGGAAGGCTCAGAAGTTCTTCCAAGTTACTGTCGTTGCAATCTGGGGGCTGCTTTTCTTTTTGTGGTGTGCTTTTTCCCTGGGGAGTTGCTAGGTTGCGTGTGGTTCTTCTACTCCCTACTGTCTGTTTTCTAATTTGCCGTATGCGTTGGGACAGTGTTGCTGGGGCTGGCCGGCATCTTGGGTGAGCTTCTCTGCTCCCCTCTGGCTCCTCCGGGAGCCATCTGTCAGTTTCAAGCAGTCTTTACTGAAGAAAGGTCCCTGTTCTAAAATGCCGATGTGGGGACACACTCCCCTGTGCGCCTGGTCTGCCCCGGCGGTGGGTTCCCGCTCCCACTCTGGGCTTGGACTGCAGGCCAGAGGGGGTCTGGCATGGGCGAACTTCCCCCGCTCACCTCTGGCTCCTGAGGGAGCCTTCTGCAGGCAGTCTTTACTGAAGAAATGTCCCCGTTCTAAAATGGTGATGCGGAACACACTCCCTGCGCGTCCGGTCTCAGGCACACTCTTCTGCGCGCCTGGTCTGCCCCGGCTGTGGGTGCTCGCTCCCCCTGTGGGCTCAGACTACTGGTCAGCAGGGGCCAGGCGTGGGCTAAATTCCCAGCTGGCCACTGGCTCCTCCAGGAGCCTCTGCTGGTTTCAAGTCGCTAGGTGGCGCCAGAGATCTCTCCTAGAGCCCTTGGAGAGCTGGTTTTTTGTTTTTGTTTTTTCACCCCGTGGGACAGGGAACAGAGTGGGAATGGTAGGGTAAACCTCAACGGCTTTGGGGTGCTGTGTCTGCCTTGTGCCCCACCGTCGTGGAGAACCCACGCCCCGAATTTCGTGCCCCGGGTCTCAGTTCCAAAGCCCTCAGGTCCAGGATGCGGGCTGTAGCCCAGTTCAGTGTCCACAGAATGGCGTCTTTTGCACCCCACTCCCGTGCCTTGGAGCCTGGTTCCTGGTTACTCAGTGAGGGACTTTTGCCTCAGTGAGGGTCTTCGCGCGCGTCTCCCTGCAAGCCTAGGTCGCAGGCGCAGGGACCTGGGCAGCCGCGATCCCGATCCGTGTTTGCTTTTCAACCACGCTGCTTTTCCGCGCAATCCCGATCCCGATCCGATCCGCGTTTGCTTTTCCAGCGCACCGCTTTTCCGAGAAAGCTTACTGGGCTGCCCGGGGCTGTGTGCTGGTGCTGGTCTCCTACTGGGCGGGGGGGGGTCTCTGTTTAATGGCGCCTGGACCTCAATTCTGTGGTGAATCCTGCAGGGTTCTCCGCAGCTCCCGTTCACGGCGTGTGGTGGCTGCAATAGTTCCTTTCCACTCACTGTCCCGCTTGCTGCGTCATTTGTTCTTGTTGGCCGTTTTGGTTTGTTGTTTTCCTCCTCTCTGCCGGTCGGAGAGTGCCGCCTCGGTGGGCGGGGGAGGGGAGCAGGGTTCTGCGCTTCCCTCCCTTCTAGTCCTCTTTTATGGCCACTTTCTTCTTCTGGTAGTTTGCTGGAGTCACCCGTTTATCTTCCGTGTCCCGGTTCTCACTGGGACCTGCCGCTTTTCCTCCCTATTAACTTTTTTTAATGGGAGATCTTACTCGCAGCATCTCCTCGCCGCCATGTTGCTCCGCCCTCTCTAAATTAAACTTCTAATAACACTATTTTTCTCCATAAGCAATGGGAGGGAAAGAGAATAAAAATTCTTAATTCTAATATCCATGCTACAATGTAGAAAAATTAAGTGAACAAGAGATTTCTAAATAGTAATGATGCCCTTCCATTTTACCATTTACTTATGGATCAGACAACAATATTCCTAATAAGTCCTACAAGAAGTAAGAAATTTATTGTGCTAAAATGAATAAAAAATAACAAATAAAACAAATTCATAAACTATTACACAAAAGATTCTTAATTCTGTATGACAAATATAAAGTGCTTTCCTATATATAAGATTAGAGATTATCTTCCTATGATACATCATATAAAACTGATATTAATCTCATGCTATCTTCCAACCAACACACAAAAAACTTTAAGATACAAAGACAGAAAAACAGCCAAAACAGGAAAATTAATTAAAACAAATATTTCATCTGAATGCTATATAATTTTTAAAGTGACCTTTAAAATGTATATCTCTATCTTGCTTCTCCCTATTATTCTAAAGGTAAAGAACATAATTAAAGAAATCACTAATAAGAGAGTCAAATGATAGATGTAAGGTGGCTCCCACCCCTCTGAAGAAAATAGAGAGAAATTTTTCTTCAGAAAACTCAAGCCACACAGGATGTGGGGATTCAACCTCAGATGGAGGATGTTTAAAGCAGTGGTCCTTAAATTTTATTATACACAATACATTAACAATCTCAATGTCTCATTTCCCAAAATGAGACATTCTGAGTTAGGTTTTCCTAACTCAGAAACCTTGAAGGAGGAGCATTAAAATGTTCCATATTTTCAAGTCTTCCAGTGATTTTACATGACTGAGCTGCAGATTTTAACCTAATAATTAGAAGAGAAACTCAGACTCACTGCCCAGTAAACTCTGAACACTTTCAAAACATTTTCTTTTCCCATGTCCTACCTGTGTCAACATCTTTGGGCCTGTGTTCTTCATCAGGAGGTTGAGATGGTGTCCAAACAGGTGGGACGTGCCTGGGAAACTGTCCTTCTGTGGAAACTCTGTAATCCAATGAGTGTGTGGGTTGACTAACTGCAGCCCAGGTGTAAAGTTGATCTTGCTAAATTTAAAAATAAAAAAATGTAATTAAATCATTAATTCAGTCATGAAAGAAATGATGTTGTCTTGATTGTTATACCACAACATCATTCCCATTATAAATATACATATGTGGGATGTGTGCATATAAATATATCCATATGGATATATATGAAATATTAAACAGCATTTTATACTATTCAATGTGCATTCAGAACATAAGTATTCATTCACACAGTCATTCATTTTCATAACATGTTTCAACTCCTTTCCAATAGCAAAATCTACGTATCTTTAATTGGAGGTAGGATATCATGTGGGCCTGCAGGAAGTATAAGATCAGAAAAATCTAAACACTCAACAAAGAATTCACCACATTAGCATCTTTAATGCAGTAGAATTTAAAAACTTGTGGCAAAGTCAAAGAAGAGGCTATACTTGAGTAATGTAGGGCAATAATAGCTTCCTTGCCTCCAACAATGAAAAGGAAAGGAAACTGGGCCTCCCTGGTGGCACAGGGAGTCAAGCTATTGCCAGCCACTGTAGCATGAATTCAATCCCCTGAGGGCCAGGGAACAACGCAGATGGCGTGGTAGACCTCTCCAGACTCACCTGCTGCTCCCCTCAGCAGTGTATTTCAATAGATCTGCCTGTTCTGCTCCCCACTCTCTCTGGTGAATCCTCTCACATGCCCCACACCTCTGCTTACACCCCAGTTCTTGTATGTATAAATAAATAAATTTAAAAAAAAGAAAAAGAAAAGGAAGGAAACCTATGTATCTTGAATCCAAATCGGGAATTTTTTGAGAGAGGTCATAAAAAAGTAAATGAAACTGCCACAAATATAAGAAGTAAACCAGGATTTTCTGGCAAAGAAAAGTTTTTCAAATGTAAACCAACAGAATCTGGATTATGAGGAAAAAAAGCTCATAATTATACTTAGTGCCAGGAAGCAAAGTAGAAATTTCAAAAAGAAGGAGGCTTTGGAGCCTTATAATGCTTCGTAAAATTATTTATTAGGGTTTCAGAGTAACAACACATTCAACCATTTTAGGACACATGTCCTTGTTTCAATAATTTGTGTGCTTTAGGTTCTCTTTGTGATATTTTCCTTATTTTCCTTAGTTATATGTATATTTCTTTATAGCTTTTGATCAACATAGAGAAAAAAGGGAATAACAGCATGGTAGAGGTAAATGCATATTAGAAACAAAAATAAATAAATAAAACTACTGTAATCACCATCTTGAAACAAAAAACTGAGTTAACCATTGGACAGGTGTTGCTATTTCTATAATTTAAGAAATTAATAAAATATTCTTCAGCATGTAAGCAAGGTACAATATATATATTAGTTTAAGCTTTGTATTTTGAGACAATGATATTAACTGAGATGCTAGTAAGCTAGCATTGTATCACAAAGGGTCACATTTCAACTATTGATATCACTTTCAACTATTCACATATTGAGCAACACTGGAGTCTTGGCTATTTAGCATACTGAATATCAAAAATAACTTTTCCTTTGTGAAATTAATGGTTTATCTAGAAATGAATCCTCACTGGCGAAACTGAAGTAATTCTACCTATGTGGACTGACAAAAACATGTGAATATCCTCTTTCTTACAAGAACAGGGTAAGACACGGGCAAAAATGGCAGCAAGGCTTGCCATAATGACATTGGTACAATCAGTAATTCTTTAGGAAAATGTCTCCTTCCTGTTGCCAACCATTAGGCATAAAATTATGACTCATTTGTGTGTGCATTACATTATCCTTTCATGTAAGGCAAGGTCAAGCACCTGTCCAAGTACATTCTCTGATAAAAGAATTTTTCCCTAGAAAGTTTCATCATCCTAATAAACATATGGATCCTTGGGTTCTGTTTGCCCCACATAAAAACCCACAGGAAAATTTCACTTAGGATTTCATCATTCACTGAAATATAAAGCATTTTAAAGCACTCTATAAATCTACACAAAAAAAAAAAAAAACCCAGGGAAAAATCGTTTGGTAAATCCTTCAGTCTTTCAGTCATACCCAAACATTATAATAGATACAGTGATATGAGGGAAAATATCAAAACTTGTCTTTCATCATTGTATAGCTCCATTAGCAGAAAACAAGCAAGCCACAACTCTTTGTAAAAAATAACTATTTTGTAAAAAATTGAATTATAAAGTCTCCCAAATTGGGATTTCCCTATACTTCAACCCAGACACTCTCCAGGCAAGAAGAGTAGAAGGATGTTTTCACAATCCTAAAGGATAAAATAGTCCTGCCAAGCATACTCTATCCTGAAAAATTACCATAAAAATATGAAGATGAAATAAAGATTTTCCCAGACAAACAGAAACTAATGGAGTGTACTACCACCAAACCTTCCCTTCAAGAAATGTCGAAATGAGTCATGTGCAAGAAAAGTAAAAAATGAAATACAAATTCCTGAGCAAAATAACAATGTCAGTACAAACCAGAATCATGAGCTAAATACTAAGGGAGGGAGAGCAATGGACAGAACTTGTATAGGTAAATGTTGGGAAGTAGATACCAGCCCCAAATATATTTAAGATACAGAAATTTAAGTAAAACTCACATGGTAACACTAACCAAAAATCTAGAATACAGACCCACAAATGAAGAAACAAAGAAATTGATAGAAACAACAAGGAAAGCCATCCAGGAAAGGCAGAGAGAAACAAATGGAAAAATATATAACAGAAAAATAAAACAATCAAAACAAAAATGTCTGATAACAAACAATTCATATCAATAACCACCCTAAATGTGAATGCCCTAATTCACCACTAAAAAGAGCTATACTAACAATGTGGGTGACAATGTTTCAGTCATCAATATTTTGTTTACAAGAGATTCATTTAAAACCAAAAAAAAAAAAAAAAAGAAAAATAATAGTTTGGAGTAAGGTCACACATCACACATGCTAATAACTCAATGAGAAAAGAAGGAACTACTATTCTCATATCAGATAAACTAGACTTTCAACTAGAAAAATAATCAGGGACAAAGGACACTGTATAATGAGGAAGGTAATAAATCACAAAAATACAATATATAACTGTTATTAATATTTATGCACCTAACTCAGGAGCATGTAGTTACATAAAACAACAATTAATGGATCTAAAACAACATCAACAAAAAAATGCAATGATTATCGGGAACCACAGCACAACACTAACACAAAGGAGTAACTAACAGTTCACTTAAATGAACTGCTAGAAGAGATGGGTTACAACTACAGACTTTCCATCCCAAAAGAAATGAACACACTTTTGGCTCTAGTGCTCATGGAACAATTTCAAGAGTAGATCGTATACTAGGACATGAACCTTGTCTCAGAAAATACATGAAAATAGAAGTCATTAATAACACCATTTGGTATTTACCTTTCTCCTGATTTGTTATTTATTATTTATCTTTAGTCCACTAATGTAGAATATAGAGAAACCAAATTAAGGATCTGATTTAAAAAACCTTAAAAACTAACCCTTGGAATTTGATTATAGAACAGAGGTATCCATAGGGCCAGAGTGGTAGAAACAAAGAGGGAAGGAAGCATAATGAACTATGATTCCAGAATGTGGGTGATTTGATGATGGGTGCACTATGATGGCAATAACTAATGGGGGTACCCTAAAACTTCAATCTGAAATAAATGAAAATGGAGAGACAAACTACCAGATATTATGGGATGCTCTAAAGGAAGTGCTATGCGGGAAATATATAGCAATACATGCCTACATTTAAAAAAAGTCTCAAATAAAAAAATCTAACTCTACAACTGAGGCAACAAGAAAAAGAACAAAGCATCCAAACCAGTAAAGAAAAGAATAAAATATTTTAGCAAAAATACACGAAACAGAAAATTAAAAGAGGGCCTCCCCTGGTGGTGCAGCAGTTGAGCGCCAGTTCGTTCCCCAGCCGCCAGCGAGGGTCCCAAAAAAAAAAAAAAAAAGAAAGAAAAGAAAAGAAAAGAAAATTAAAAGATCACCTAAAAAATCAGTGAAACCAAGAGCTGATTCTTTAAAAACAACAACAACAAAAAAAAAGTTGACAGCCATTAGTTAGAATTATGAAGAAAAGAGAAAACCCAAATCAATAGAATGAAAAATGAAAGAGATGTAATCAAAACAAACACTGCAGAAACACACAGGATAAGAACCTATTACAAAAGTCTCCATGCAAACAAACTTGACAACCATGAAGAGATGGACAAAGTTTTAGACTCATACAACCTCCCAAGATTGAATCAGGATGAAATCGCTGAAACAGCCCAATCACAAGCACAGAAATTGAAAGAGTAATAAAAAAATCTTCCTAAGATAAAAAGTCCAGAACAGTTGGCTTCCCCAGTGAAATCAACTAAACCATCAAAAATGTAGTGTCTGTCCTATTCAAGCTCTTCAAAAAAATCAGAGAGAGAAAAACTCCCCAGTACATTTTATGAGGCCAACATTAACATGATCCCAAAATCAGTTACAGTACAAAAAGAAAATTATAGATCAATATCTCTGAAGAACATAGATGCAAAAACCCTAGCACACAAAATACAGCATCATATTGAGAGAATCACACACAGGAGTGCAGGTTTCTTCTTGAATTAGTCTTTTTCTATTGATATTATTTTACCAAATACCTATGAATAGAATTGCTGCGTCATATGGTAGATACATTTTTAGTTTTTCAAGGAACCACCACTCTGCTATGCATAAGGGTTGGAATAGTCTATATTCCCACAAATGGTGTAAGAGGGTTCTTTTTTCTTCACACCTTTGCCAGTATTTGTTGTTTCTGATCATTTTAATATAGGCTATACTCACTGAGGTGAGGCAATATCTCATTTTGTTTCAATATGCATTTCTCTAGTGATATGTGATATCATTTTTTCAGTGCCTCTCAGTCATTTTTAGGTCTTATTTGGAGAAGTTCCTACTTAGCTCTTCTGCCATTTTTTGAGTGGAGGATTTCTTTTCTTACTGTCCTGTTGTACGAATTCT